GAGACGAAGTCTTCTTCGGTGGCATGTCATTTGGTGATGGTGACGGCACCGACAGGACGTGCAAGGTCCCCTTAAATATCTCCATTTCGACTATGTTGCCTACAGCAGTGTCGATGACCCGATGACTTTTCTTGTTGGCTATGGTCTGCAAGATTTGTCCACGCCCCGACGACGATGACTTTCCTTTGTGGTTTGGTCTTCAGGCCTCGTCTTCGTCATGTAGGTACGGCTTACGGTGTTGGCATGGGAGTACATAGGATGTGTAAGTCCCCTTGAATATATCCATTTTGACAAAATTGCCTGTAATGCCGTCAATGACTTGGTGCCTATTTTTATTTTTCTATTGGCTATGGTCTCTAGGGTTTGTTCATGCGACGGCGGCGGCAACATCCCTTTGTAGTTTGGTCTCCGGTCCTCGTCATGGTCATGTAGGTACGGCTTTCGACGTTGGCATGAGGCTCGTGAGGAATAATGGAGGTTTGGCTCTTGAATCAACAGTCTTCTAGCGGTGACAGACTTCTTTAGGGCGCTGGCCCAATAGGCTTGTGTCCTTGATGACTTCCGTCCGCAATCAACAATGACGGGATGGCTTCGCGATAGAGCAGCATGCCGTGGTGCGCCATCGGACATTTGCGGGGATGAATACTGATATCACCAGGCATTTCTGATGTAACATTTTCCATAATTTTCAAGGGTTTTTAATACCGGATTGGTTGCGTGTTTGAAAAAATATTTCCATTTTGCAAGACCAGATGAACTCATTCCTGTGTACAGATGACACGTGCATTGGTTCAAACCTCCAAGAGCGGGGCAGTATGGGGAGAAGCCACACATATATGCAAAGAACTCCAAATCTCAAACACCTGTTTGAGCGGCTGCCCCCAATCCTCCATGGGCAGTATGGGAAGAACCTACTACAGGAGCAAAGGATTCGCTTTAGCAAAAAGTTAAACCGATGGGGATTTTGACCGCGACGCCCCCACCACTGCCTGTCTCACGGCGCAACCAGTAAAACCATGACGCGCCCGACCAGGATCATTCCAGGGGCTCGCCACCCCGTCCCAACGACTAGCCGCGTCGCTTGGCGTCGGGGCCCGCGACAGAGCGACCTGCCGCCAGCTCGCCATGCATGAAATGAAATGTTATTTCTCAAGAACGTAATGCTGGGCACCACGAGCGATGGGTATTATTCGCTTTCTCTTTCTCGCCGACGATTTTCTTGAATATTTTTACTACTAATTTATGTGTGTACATCGCTGTCACGTATCAGGAGGAGGTGATACGGTGGCTTTAGGGCTAGCTTCCGGGCGAAGCAAAGCATGTCCTGTCGATCCTGTCGTGGCGTTGTCTAATCGCTTTGCTTTCCCGGCGTCGAGCGACGGAGAAAATCTGTGTTTACCGTGTGTCCTTGACGTGTGCTGGTTGGTCGATCGTGTGTGCAGTTTAGTTTATCCCGCGCAGCAGCAAGCGATCTACGCGCTCCGGCCACGGCCGCTGCGCGTTCGAACGTTCCGCCGCGCGCACAGCTGGGAGCCTGGGCGGGACGAGTACGTCGACGTCCCACGTGGTGCAGTCTGGAGCTTTCGGTTCCATCATCCATGGCGCCGTCGTTGTCTGCTGACCCCCGACCCGAGGGTGGTTCGGAGTTCGGGGCTCGAAAAGGGACGTGCCGGCAGGTGGCTGGCTCGCGCGCGCGCGGCAGCTCGAGCGAAAGAAAGGCGGCCTGGCCAGCGCATCATCCTTGTTGGTTCTTTTCTCTTTCTCCCCCGCGCGCCGTCCGTTGATTGCTCTTTTCTTTTGCCCGGTCAGCGAGAGAGCCATGCGCTTTTGTCTCACACGTGTCGGCCGATCAACGGGCGAATGGCCGCCAGTGTGGATTCCCAGCACTTTGCGTATGTGGCCCGACTAAACCTGATCATTCCACGGCCGGGTCGGGTTCGGGCCGGGCTTGGCAAAGCCCGAAGAAAAAATCCCAAGCCCGAGCCCGACCCTCCATGAAGCACATGAGCCGTGACATTTTTTAATTAAATTTATTATATTCAGGATTTTTTTGAAACTAATTATATTCAGGATTACCTTGATGTATTATACCTATATTTTACATAAGAATATATATAGCCTTTTAGGGCTTTTTTCATGCTTTTGGGCCAGGTTTCGGAAAAGGAAATGGAACCCGAGCAGTCACATGAAGCAGGGTATGGTTGTTCGGTCTGCACTTGACATGCATAGCATGGCTAGTCGTTATACATGCAGATTAGCTCCTTGGATGTACTCCCTCCGTCCCAAAGTTGGAAGTGCACTCTTTGAAGGACGGAGGGAGTAGGTGCATATTCCCTTCTATTCTAATACCAGACTAATGCAACCCCTCTATTTGAATGCCTTGCAATTTGTATGTTGCATTGAGCTATACCGTGGCAACTCCAATCATTTTCCATCGTGGCCCCTAGTACTAGGCTGCCCTTTTCAGAGAAATCCATGGCCATAATATTCCTGGTAGGGACGACAGTGCTGGAAGGATGGCGTGCCAGTTTTCTAATACAACTCGGGCTCACTACTCATTCATGGCGACAAATACAATATTTATTGACGACGGTGCAACAAAGTAAATAAATAAGCAAACAATAGTGTAGCAAAAGCAATGGTTAATTATGCCAAAACAACACATAGTATTTAAACCTACATATATATAAGACATAAGACAATATATTATCCATTTATCAATATCAAAAATAGATAATCCTTGATTAGCCCTAGAAGAAAAACTTAAATAGCGATTATTTCCCGACATTTATGCATGCATCAGTCAATCTTCAGTCGTTGATGACCCCCAAGGCCGCTCTAATTTCCTCCGGGCTCCAGGATGGGATCACATGCCTCATTATGTTTGATCGTCAACATCTAGAAAAGATGCAAAAACACAATTATTAAATAAACAGCTGGAAAGTAAACGGCACACCGAAACACATCATATATTTACTTACATTGGCGGTGAACTTGTTATTCCTAAGAGTACCATTCCAGTGGTTCATCTCCTGTAAGACTATGAAACCAAAGTCTTTGTCGTGACAAAAATAACATCATATAGTAAAAACTATGTTGGTGTGCATTTAATGTATGTGATCTGTTTAGTAGATTACCGCAGAGCGTTAGAAGAAATATTATCTTCTAGCAAATCCATGAGTTGGGTATTTCATCCAGGGGTCCTCATTTGTAACGTGTTGTTGAATTCCTGATTCAACAATGTAATTTGCTTCCTTATTTATTTGTTATGAAAGTCCTCTTCAACTCGACATAGATTGATGCATGGATCAATCATGAGAGTTTCCTCACGCATGTTGACTACAAATAGCCCGTAGGAGGAATCCACGTGACCCAATGGTACTAGATACCACAATAGGTAGGCACATGTTAATTGCTAATATAACAAGCTAACTAAATTTTAAGAATGAGAATCACTTATAATTGTAAAGTTAAACATGTTTTCTAAATATAACATGTTTAACTCTACAATTGCAAGTGATTCTCACTCTTAAAATCTAGTTTTCTTATTATTTTAGCAATTAACATGTGTCTAGCTATTGCACTATCTACTAAGATTGGATGTCGTGGATTCCTCCTACGGGCTACTTGTAGTCAACATGCACAAAGAGAATTGTCGTGATTGATCCAACCATCGACCGGTATTGAGATGAAGAGGACTTTCATGACAAAGAAATGAGAAAGAAAATCACATTATTAAAGCAGGAACTAAACAATGTGTTGCAAACAAGGATTCCTGGTTAGAATACCCAACTCATGGATTGGCAAATAGGCAACATTTCTTTACCGCCAGACGGTAATCTAATAAAATTATCATGTATATTAGATAAACATTGATATTATTTTTAATATATGGAGTTATTTCTGTCACAACAAAGACACTGATTTCATAGTCCTATAGGAGATGGCCCACTAGAATGGTACTCTCAGGCATATTATGTTCACCACTAACGTAAGTACATATATAATGAGTTCTGGTGTGCCATTCATTTTCAAGACATTTTTTAAATGACTTTGGTTTCACATATTTCTAGGTTCCAATATAGTTCAGGAAGCAATTGATGGTCAAACACAATGAAGCACGCGATAACATCATGAAGGAAATTAAAGCGGCCTTGAGGTCATAGGCGACTGAAGATGGACCGATGCATGCATAATTGTCGAAAATAATTGCTATGTAAGCTTTGTTTGGGACCTAATCGAGAATTGTGTATTAGGCAACGTATCAAGTGAAAACTTGATTTCAGTGAAAATCTGGAAACTTTCATCCCACCTTGTTGGATCTATAGCGAACGGCATCTGCTCAAAAGCGGAGCTCCACCAGGATAGGGGCGCAACGGCGTCACCGCCATAGCTATTTTGCTGCGGGATAGCGGATAGGGAACGGGGAGGTGATAAGCCAATGCTCAAAAACCTGACAACATTACTAGGAACGAGGGGGTTTTGTGCTAATGTGTGTTTAAGTTTCTGGTGGAGCTCCGCT